AAGGCTGAAGTTAGTTGGTTAGCTGTTATTAGTTAGTTGGTTGGCTGTTTATTAGTTAGTTCTTGTTAAATGCAGTAACCCTTTTCTATGAAAGGGGTTGCTGTCTTCCTTTGTTGGGTAGCTTTTTCAATCAATGAAATTTCTCTCATTTGGTTTACATCTCCAGCATTCTGCCTGAAAGAGTGGGAGATGCGATGAAAGAGGAGATCGAATTATATAGTTTCGAACTACTCTACTCTTTCTGATCAAGACGGCCTGAGTTGAGGCTATTGGATCTTGATCTCTTAACTGACTTAGTTTGGGCATAGTAGGTCGAAAGGTTTGAGTCACAGGAAACCTAAAAGTTCTTTCGCTCTTGACAAGATTTCCTTCTTTAATAGCGGTATCACTACCAATGACAACAATCCCTACATTCTCATTCTCAAGATTTAAGGCTATTCCTTTTACACCGTTGGTAAATTCCACCATTTCCCCAGCTTGATCAGTTGCTGAAATCTCGAGAAAAGCTTGATAAATGAGATGGAGTTCCACAGACTAGAAAGATGCTATTTGGATGAATAAACCACCACTCAACCCAAAAACTTAAGCTAATGGGTTGGGTAAATTTAATTGATTTATAAGTATCTCAACACTCCCTCTAACTTGTGGGCTTGGATAATTGACAAGGCCCAACAGGTGGAAATCAATATAAATGGGGAGGAAACAATAATGCAGGGGTTCAAACACAAGACCTCCCGTTCTGATACCATGTTAAGGATGAATAAACCACCCTCAACCCAAAAGCTTAAGCTAATGGGTTGGGTAAATTTAATTCATTTATAAGTATCTCAACAGGAACCATTGGAGTTGGCCAGTTGGGGAATAATGATTAGACATATTCATGGACAAGAAGAGGGGGGCTGGTTTACAAAATGCCTTTGAAGATGCTGCAGTCTTGGGGTCATGTTTCAACACTTAGACTGTTATTTGAAATATACATCAATTTTATTATTATTATTATTATGTTTTATGAGAAATCGAGCTTTCATTGAGAAAAAATGGAAGATTCAGACACTGCAAAAAGATTCAGAAATATAAATCAAATTTAAGGTGGGTTCAGGTGCAAGGGTAAGGTTTTGGAAAGATATTTGCCTGAAGGATTATATTATTTGGTTGATTAACCAACATTTAATGGCAGAGTTTCTGAATCTTTTTGCTGTGTCTGTAGGGGAGATGTGGAAAAGTGAAACAAAATCCTGGAAAACCTTGACTAGAAGAAACCTACTAGATGTGATGGCCAATGAGTTTGTGGATTTTTTTAGACCTCCTATCAATCAGTTGTACGTGAGAATGAGGGGCAGAAAAAGTGGGGACTAAGTTAGTTCCTATTTTTATGGTTCAATTGTGTTTTTTGAAGGAGGCGGAAGTGGCAGAATTTTCGGAGCTACTTGCACTACTTTCAAATTTCTCTATATCTACCAATTATGACGAAAGATTTTGGTCGCTCAAACCTTCAGGCATGTTTTCAGTAAGCTCTTTGAATTCATCATATCTTTCAAATTGCTCCACCTCAAAAAGGAGCTTTTCAGCTATCTAGAAGTCTAAATGCCCTAGAAAATCAGTGTGTTTGTATGGATTTTGATTAATGGCAAAGTAAATACTGCCAGCATTCTTCAGAAAGCTGGTTTTGCTTTTCAACCATCTTGGTGTGTCCTTTGTATGTACAGTGGAGAAAATCAGGAGCACCTTTTCTTTTGGTGTCCTTTCACAATGACTCGCTGGGGACTATTATTTCAACAATTTTCCATTAGTTGGGAGTTTGACAGGAGTGTTCCTAAGAACATTTTGCAGCTGCTGTAAGGTCCTTTATATTCTTCATAAATTTGGCTCTTAAAACAAATAGTATCCTTATCTTTTGCCAGTATCAAAATTGGTCTACTATGCACTGCCTCTGAACTTGTAGGCCACAAGCCTCACCATTCATTCTGGTGTATTCGTATAATCAAAGAAATTTGAAGAACATTTTTTTCCCCTAGACCATAATTGAGTCTTTCGTGATTTCCTCGTGGAACCTCTATATCGTTTCTAAGCTGGAATGATGCAGCACCTCACAAGGTTTTTTTAAGAAATGATTCAATGCCCTTTCATTAAAAGGCTGAAACCTATTTATAGAGGTTTCAAGCTTAAGAAT